TTGCACGTCCGAGCTTGTAAACGCGACAGAAAGAGAGAGAGAGAGAGAGAGAGAGCGAGAGCGAGACTGTGCCCCCTCCCCACTCCGTTTCCCCCTCCCCCCCCCCCCCCCCCACCCCTCAGTGAAAATCAAAGCCAGCTTCTAAGCCAAGAATGTGCTTGGCTCCACGGCAGGAAGGGTTGATGGGTCTATAAACAAGAAGCAGACTGCCACATCCCAATGCTAATCACCGAGCCACAGCCAGGCTGCAGAGAATTGCCAAGATCCTACCATCAGGACACGAGAGGGTGGGGGGGGGGGGGAGGGGGGGTGGGGGTGGCGTGAGGGGGGTGATTCATGTTTCACATCGAACATGGTATCGCCCTGTGTCTCAGTTGGTAGCCTCCACGCCTCGTCTCTGGTCAGAAGGTTGCGTGTTCGAGCCTGTGCGTCAGGGCTTTGAGCTCACGGACCAGGCTGACGCTCCCACTCAATGCTGGGCTGTTGTTGTTGTTGTTGTGGTGTGTTTTTGGGGGTGTGGGAGTGGGGGGGGGTGGGGGTGGGGAGGAATCTGCTGCATTGTCAGAACCTCAATTCGAGACGTTAAGCTTCTAGTCTAAGCTGACGCTCCAGGGTAGTGCTGGGGGGGGGGAACACTGCCATTGTCGGAGGTGCCGTACTTTGGGTGAGGCGTGAAGCAGAGCTCCCCGTCTGTACCCGTTCAAGTGGAAACTGAATTTCTCCCTGGGTCCAGGCCAATAATCCCCCAAATAAATTTGGTCACTCGATTCACGACTGTTTGTGGGACACTGCTGTGCGCAATTGGCTACCGCGTGAGAGAGGGAGAGGGATGGAGGGAGTGAGAGAGGGGACGAGCAGTGGGAGAGGGATTGAGAGAGAGAACGAGGGAGGGAGAGAATGAAGAAGGGAGTGAGAGAAAGAAGGAGGGAGTGAGAGATGGAGGGAGGGAGGGAGGGAGAGATGGAGGGAGGGAGGGAGGGAGGGAGAGAAGGGATGAGGAGCGAGAGAGGCAGAGAGTGAGCGAGAGAGTGAGCGACGGGAAAAGGAGTGAGAGAGGGAGTGAGAGAGGGAGAGAGCGAGGGAGTGAGCGAAGGGAAGAGGAGTGAGAGGAGGGAGTGAGTGAGGAAATGAGAGAGAGGAGGGAGGAAGGGAGAGAGGGAGGGAGTGAAGAATAGGATGAGCGAGAGAGAGCGAGGGAGAGACGGGAAGAGTTGCGGGGGGTGAAGAGTAGGTGATGGGAGGGAGGGAGGGAGGGATGGAAGGAAGGAAGGGAGGAAATAAAGGGTGAGGGGGAGAGAGAGGATGGGAGAGGAGATTGTGGGGGAGGGGAGGAGAGAAAGTGAGAGCGGTGGGAGGGAGGGAGGGACGGGGAGAGGAACGGGTTAAGGAACACAAGCCCTTTCGAGACCCCAGTAATAAAGACACTGTCTGCAAGATGCCTGCCACATTCCTGGCCGACATTCCTGCAAGGAGCAGGGAGTGTGCGGGATCTTAAAGGCACAGGCCACCCAACCACTGCGAGGCCAAAGCTTATTGAATAATTAGTGATATTCGCGTCTCTCTGGGGCCTGACACGGGCACAGACAGACAGACAGACAGACAGACAGACAGAGAAGAGGGGAAGTCTTATCCCTGTTCTCCTGGTTTATATTCCCATCCTCTGCCTCCAACCTCAAATTGCCTATCTACTTGTTTGTTTGAGGAAGGAACGAACCAGGAACAAACAGACCAGAGTGGGTAGAGGGAGGAGAACGTGAACAAGGGATATACACATCTGGAGGAGATTGAAGAGGAGCTTAACAAAATAGTCCACCCTTACAGCTGCGCATCCGAAAGACGTCGCGAAGCACTCATAACAACAACAACAATATCGCACCTTATCACGTTGTTGAGACGTCTCAAAGCGCTTCACGGAATATACCGTAAAGTGTAGTGACTCGTGTATTTTTGTGGGTGAAACCTGGCAACCAATTGCGCCCAGCAGTGTCCCCACAAACAGTCGTGGGTTAAATCACCAGATTAAAGAATAATAAGGAATTATTAGCCTTGGAAAGCAATCTCTGCCAATTGACTAACAATCGGGTTCATGCTCACTGCCGGGTAAACAGAGGCGCGTGGAGTAAGGAAACTTGCCTAAGGTTCACTGCGCCCAGGAATCGAACCCGGGTCCTTCACAGGATTTACTGTGAAGCGTAGTGACTGGGTATTTTGAGGGCGAAACGCGGCAGCCAATTGCGCACAGCAACTTCCCACGCACAGCCGTGGAAGTAAACGGTTACTTTTTAAAAAATATATCTGGGGTTAATGGTCAAGCCAGGACACTGGAGAAAGAGAGAGAGAGAGAGAGAGAAAGAGAGAGAGAAAAACTCCCTTCTCTTTTTTTTTCGAATGGCGCCCACTATTTTCCACACAGACGGGAGCTCGGTTGACATTTAACGTCTCATCTGAAAGACGGCACCTCCAACAATGAAGTGCTTCCCCCCACCCCCCCCCCCCCGTCAGCACTGAGCTGGTCTGACTTCAGGGGGAGAGAAAGGGAGAGAGACTGTGTGAGCTGAGCGCGAGTATGTGAGGGAGTGTGTGGGAGAGAGAGAGAGACTGAGAGAAAACACAAGCATTGCTTTGTGTTTTTTTCTTAAACGAGCCGAAATATCCTGCTACAAACTGAGCAAAGGCAAAAGCCCCCTTCCCCTCCCTCCCTCTCCCCTCGCCACCGCACCCCCCCTCCCCGTTTCTGCTGCGATAGAGAAACACATCCTGTGAGGTTAGAAACCCACAAAATAGCAAACTCCAAACTTGTGCCAAACATAGGCTGGGACTTCAACAGTGTCCCTCCCACCCCCCCCTCCGCCCGCCCCAGTCTCCCAACTCAACTCAGTGATCAGGGAGAGAGGGATGTGTTATTTTATACAGGAAGCCCCCGGTAGGGTGAGAGAAGGAAGGAACGAAGGAGAGAGAGAGAGAGAGAGGGGAGGGAGAGAAAGAGAAGGGGGGGTGTTAGGGAAGGAGGGAGAGAGAAAGTGAGGCAGAGAAAGAAAGAACGGTATAAAAAAATCTGTTTTTGCAAGCATATTTTTTTAACAGGGATGAAATTCCACACCAGCAGTCTGGTGGCTTTCAGATCCCAGCCTGGGCTGGGGCTGGGGCGCGGGGGGGGGGTAGTGTGTGTGTGTGGAGAGATGTGTGTGGGGAGGGGAGTGTGTGCAGTGTGTATATGCGGAGAGGTGTGTATGTGGGGAGAGGAGTGTGTGTGTGCGGAGAGGTGTGTGTGTGGGTATGTGGAGAGGTGTCGTTGTGTGTGTGGAGAGGGGAGAGTGTGTATGTGGAGAGGTGTGTATGTGTGGGGAGGGGAGTGTGTGCGGTGTGTATATGTGGAGAGCTGTGTATGTGGGGAGGGGCGTGTGTGTGTGTGGGTATGTGGAGAGGTGTCGGTCGGTGTGTGTGTGTGGAGAGGGGAGAGTGTGTATGTGGAGAGGCGTGTATGTGGGGAAGGGAGTGTGTGTTTGGGGAGGGAAAAGGTCTCCTAATCTTAGTGACCCCCCCCCCCAACCCCCATCCCCGAGCCTAACCTTCCAGCACCTGGGCATGTTTCCTGAGGCTCTCCGTCCCCACCCCCACCGCCCTGACACACACTCTCCCTCCCCAGACACACAGATCGTATCAACGGCCGAAAAGCATTTTTCTTAAAAAGAGCCCTTTCTATTTTATTTAAGCTGCAGCTTCCTCTGTGGCTATTTAATGTGCTGCCAAAGTACCCGCCTGTACTCGCTCTTACACTCCCCACCCCCCAAACACACACGTGCTCTCTCCCCCCCCTCCACACACACACACACATTCCCCCCATACACTCCGTCTCCCCTCACGCACACACTCTCACATACACACACTCCACCCCACTACATACACACACCACTCTCTCTCTCTGATCTTAAGACATAAAAACCGTTCCTTAAAGAGCTCTTTCCAGCTTTAACTCTCTCGCTTTTTCTCTCGGGGGGGGGGGGGGGAGGAAAGGAGGGGGGGGGGGTTGGCGACACATTGTTGAGAGTTGCCATCTTTGAGATGAGACTATAAACTGCCCCCCCTCCCTCCCGCCTGGGTCTCTTCGGGTCAACGTTTTGACTCTCTAGTAAAAAGAGTTTCTCCCGGAGTCCTGACCGACAACACTACCCGCTCCACACCCCACCCCACCCACATAAAATTGGTCATCTGCCTCGTGGGAGTTGGTTTAACTTGGCTGCCGCTCTCGCCTACAAAACACACAGCCACCACGCTTTCCAGTAAATCCTGTGAAATCACTTCACTCCCCAGTCAGCGTCTCCCCCAACATGACACACGCACACACACACACACACACACACACACACACGCACGCACACAGGCAAAGCCAACGTGTAGACAGGCGAACACACACCCATTCATATTGAAGTGACATTGCGCCACCTCCAACACACACACACACACACACACCTACATGACTGGCAGGTACAGTCACTACACGCAAACAATCTCAACCCGGAGCCACGGGGAGCGTGTGTTCACACCAGATCCCGCCGCAACCAATAATCCTTTTGTTTGATACAGCGCCTTATCACAGCATTGAGACGTCTCAGAGCGCTTGTATTAACAATAATGTAAAGTCAATTGACTGTGTATTTTGTGGGCAATACGCATCTGCTTGTAATTGGGTGTTGGTATCACGCTCTACCCCACCAAACATAAACATACACATGTACACACGTACACAATGACATGTGGGAGCTCTGGTTACCTGCGCTGTACACTCAGTTTGTACCACACTGTACTCTGAGAGCACAGGCAAACAACTAGCTTTTATATAGAAATCTTCACACAGGAGAGCACACATTGTGAGTACCACACTCTACACAGATAGCACCCCCAGAGGGTAAATGTATTCCCCCGCCCCACCCCACCCGCCGCCCCCCACAGCTGCCTCAGCAGTGCTGCCCCAGAAGCTCTAAGATGAAGTTGTGTCTTACCTGAGAGGCCATCGGGGCTGTGTAGTGAGGGCCCCCAGTTTCAGTGGAGGATGGGGGAGGGTTGGGGGAGTCCGCTGTCAGAGAGAAGCCAAAGCAAAGTTAGAAACTTTTATGCTCTTTACACACGGGACACTTTCATAGCAGCTTCTGAGCCACAATAACATTCAAGACAACAACAGCCACAATTTACATTTATACATTGCTTTTCATGTTGAGAGGATGTCCCAAGGCGCTGGACAGTTAAGGGTTTACCCCGAACTGGGGAGGGTTGTATCCGGAGGGGTGGTGGGGTGGGGGGGGAGAAGGGGTAGTGGGGTGACAGAAGGCAAGGTCCAAGAGGAGGATCTTGAGAAGGGTCTTGAAGGAGGCAAGAGTGGGGCGGTGAGGGTGAAGGGACTGTGGGATGAAGCAGGGAATGGGGTAGAGAGCTCCAGTGGGGTGGGGGGGGGGGGGGGTGGAGATCTATAATCTCAGGTGCCTGATCATTGAGCAGACACATTAGTGAGGAGCCAGGACTGGATGTGTCACAGTGGGAGCTTTCTCGAGGCGTGTTCTCTTAATGGATTGTAATTTTCGTTGAATCTAACATTAGATTAGTTCATGTTAATTACTCATATCTCCTGTCTCCGTGTATCAGCCCAGGACTCTGAGCCCCACCCCTCATATCAGCACAGTACACTCACAGCCCAGCGTGAGACTGAACCACAACACATCAGCCAAGTCCTGAAAACCCAATCAGTCAATTAACCCCTTCTCTCTCCGAATAGCGCCGTGGGGATCTTTAACCCCCACACCTGGACGGCCAAACGGGAGCTCGGTTCAACGACTCATCCAGGTCTCAACTCTCAACCCGTTCCCTCACCCCCTTTGCCCTTTTCACCGCGTTCCTCGTGGTTTAATTGTCGTTTGGCGTCTTAGCCCCTAAACCACCTTTGCCAAAATCCTCAGCCGCTGTAGGTGCCTGAGAGAGGGAGAGGGAGAGGGAGCCCCGTCTGACTGGGGCGGGGACAAGGTTTTGCGCGGGTCTGTTCTGCACACAGGTAGGTTAAAAGGGAAGATCACACAGCTCCTGACACCCCCCACCACCCCCCTCCCACTTCCCACACCCCTCCTGTCCTCCGTAATCTACCCCCAGGATCAACTCACCAACGCCTCCTAGTGGCTGACTTAAGAACTTCATCATAAACACCGCAAGCTCCCAAATTCTACCTGGCCTTAACCTGCCTCTTAAAATCTACCTCTTCCATAATAATAATAATGATAAGAATAATAATCCTTGCGTTTGATATAGACCCTCATCGAGACACTTCAAAAAGTGCTTCACTGGATTTTACTGCAAAGTGTAGTGACTGTGTATTTGTTGGCGTAAAATAAAATAGTTATAATATACAAGTATGATTTATGGTATAATTGGCGTATAATAATAAAACAGCACAGAAAGTAATGTAAAATTCTTTGCTTCAGTCTTAATTCAGAAACCAGGTTAATCTTAAGAACTTCGGAAATGCGTCTTGAGAATTAAGAGTTTTTTTTATTTCCCCCAAAATCTACACCACCTTAAATTTTTTAAACCAATTTGAAGTCTTGGGGCTGGTGGGAGGGTAGAAGTGGATGGAATTTTCTCAGGGGAATGTAAAGACAATGACTATCCCACTACCCCCTTTAAGAGGCAATAGTTGACTTAAACTTGAATCTTTTAAAAAAAACTCTTGATATATAGCCTTTCAAGTCAGGTGGCCGTCTAAAGGATTTACTGTAAAGGTGTAGTGACTGTATTTTGTGGGCAAACATGGCAGCCAATTTGCACAGCTCAATGTCCCACACAAACACCCATGGAGCGAGTGACCAATTTTATCTGGGGGATTGTTGGCCGGGACATTGGGAGAGAGAAACTCTCTTCTCTATTCGAATAGTGTTGTGGGATCTTTACTGTCCACCTGAACAGGCAGACGGGGCCTCGGATTAACATTGACCGGGATAATATTAGTCTGTACTTACTGTTAAGAGGCTCCTGCTTTCTGTGTCAGGCTTAAAATATAGATTTAGAAATCTATAATAGCAGTCGAATAAGTCACTGATAGGCCAAGCTGCAATACGCAGACTGCGCACACACATACGCGCATCCATATACACAGACATATACGCATATACACACACACACATACATACACACACACACACACACACATACATACACACACGTATACATATAAAGGGTGACCAAAATGTTGTGATAACATTTGTGGAGGACAAGTTTGCAGGGCTATGGGGAGAGAGTGGGGGAGTGGGATTGACTTGGATAGCTATTTTCAAAAGCCAGGACAGACACGATGGGCCGAATGGCCTCCTTCTGTGCTGAAAAATTCTATGATTCTATGAATGTCTAATAAGTCTTAAAGAAATTAGGATCTTTTTAAAAAATAGGGAAGATATCACAACTTTTTGATCATCCTGAACATACATGCACACGACATGACATGACATGTATGTCCATGCACGCACACATATACATGCTGACCAAAAACTTGTGATAACTACCCTTTTATCTAAACAAAATCATCATTTCTCTAAGACTTAGTAGACATGCAATGGTATCATGACTTTTTGGTCAACCTGTATATACACACGCACACATAATGTCTCTTCCTCTCCCCCCACCACAAAACGATTATGAGCACTAACATTGTCACGCTATTGGGTCTATCTCACCAGTGACAGCATTTCTCTGAAACTATGAACATCCTATAAAACCCAATTTTTCCTCCCCTCCCATCTGCCCCCCCCCCCCCCCGCAAAAAAAAACTTGCCACTGCATTTTTTTTAGATATAAGTGGACTGGCTTCTATTAGTGTCAGCTTGTCTCAGTGTATGTGTGTTGTGTCTGTGTGTGATGTGTCTGTGTGTGTGTTGCATTATCAGAGGTTCTGCCTTTTTGTCCTTTACACTGAAGCACATTTCAAAAGTGTGCCCCCACACACAAATGCAAGCACACGCACACACACACTCACATACACACACATCTCCCAGTGAGACGCAATGCTATCATTTCCTTGAGTTCTTCCATATTCAATTCAAAATTGCCCATCGATGACTTGACCCGCCAGCCTACACGCACTCATACACACTACACTCACCCACAGAAATGTCACTGACACTCTCTCCCCCCACCCCCAACCACATTAACCTCACATCAAATTAAACGCCTCTTCCCCAAACTGTGACGCAGCCCTCAATTCTCTCTAATATCAACTGTTTCAACAGCCAACTTCGCAAGAGATTATATCCACTGTTAGTTAGTTACCCAGTGAGTCAGTAACAGGAGCGAACCAGACTGAGGATGATCAGAAGGAAAGTGAGGTTGGAAGCTATTTTTTAACAGAGACACAGAGAGAGGGGTGTTTTTTTTAAAAAAAGAGGAATGTCTCATCACAAATGGCCAACTCTGTAATGGCATTCGAAAGAGAAATGGGACAAAGTAGTTGAGTAAAAATAATAAAGGCTGTGGGGAAAGAGTAGAGAGCTCCAGTGGGGGTAGTGAGCCCCAGCACAGACAAGATGGGGAGCGAGCATGGGAATGGAGTTATAGTAGAGAACTCCAGTGGGGGGAGCGAGCCCCAACACAGCTCAACCCAATGAGCCCCAAATCCTTTTGCAGTTAAACTTTCTCTGACTCCTTGACTTGCCTCAGAAAAAGTAATAAAGAACTCAACTTTTTTAAAAAAAACATTTTTGAAAAATACACATTTTTGAAGTCAAAATTAAAACAAACAGCGCTCCTTCCACCACCAACAGCAACCCCCCCCCCCCCCCCCCATCCCCCCAGCAACTTTTATGGGAGACATTTTTTTATTTGATTTAAAAAAACACTATTATATTTAATAAATAGAAAATAAACAGTCACTACACCTTACAGTGCATTGGCTGCTGCGTTCGCCTACAAATAACCACAGTATAACCAGTGAAGTGCTTTAGTAAGACGTCTCCACGGCCCGCTGTATCAAATGCAAGGATCATTATCATCATTATTACGGTTTAAACCCCCAAAAATAATACTTACCAGGTTGCTTGAGCAATTCCATTGGAAATTTGGAATAGGGCGGTGGAGGGGATTCTGTGGGAGGGAGGGAGAAGAGAGAAATAATGAATGAAAAGGCAGAGCCATGAGAAAAACAGATATTAACTTATGATAACACTGGCATGCTTCGCAAGCTGTTTGTGTTCAGCTCTTGGGAACTGGGGACAAAAAGAGCAGAGGCGGCCGATTGCCTTGATAGTGGGCAGTCATATAAACAAAGGAGGTTGTCTGGCGCCAGGCTCACTGATATGCAACTTGTATGTTTAATAGTTCCTCCTTAGCTCAAGTAAAAGCACTTACAGCCCTGAAATTAACACTGAAATGACACACACTCACACACAGCCCAGCAACTGACTATGGTTGACCATGCAATGTCTGGCTGCTCAACTGGTTAAGGTCAATTCACCCCCATTTCTGTATACTCTCTCTATTGGCGTGATTTTTGGGGGGATTGTTAGTAAAGTTTTGTGTGTGTGTACGTGAGTGTAAAATAAAACACTTATGGCTGAAAGGCTGTATGTCTACTCTACATACAAATATATGCATATAAATGTAACTTGTGTGCCTTTAAGAGTTAATGATTATTTTTAATCATTTCAATAGCTCTTTCTTGGTTCATGTATAAAATAACCCCTCTATTCAATCAATAATATATATTATTATTTTGATACATTTGCCCTCTCAACCACATTTTTTTTTGGTGTTAAGACATTCACACACAAAACTTTGCTCACAGCCCCAGGAAATCACACAGATTTTTCAATTAAAAAGACATTTTTAAAATAAAAACTGTTGTTTCGTAACTTTTTTCAAAACAACCTAAAAAAAAGGTGAATTTCAAAACAATTTCTATCCTTCTACCACCCACTCATCTTAGACCTAAATAATACTTTTAGACCCCCACACACACACACACAAATAAAACACACGAATGAAAACCCTTTCCCCCTCCAGTAAAAATAAATTTTGTGAATTAAGAATTTTTTTCCCTTGTTTTTTGAAAAAAGACACAAAACCTCAATTTCAATGGAAACTAAATCTCGAATAAAGTATTTTTTTCCACCTAAAAATATACAGTGCGAGAGGAAACTGTAATCAAGTCAGTATCAAACTCTATAAAATCACTTTGAAATCACAATATATATATATATATATACATAAAAACATCAGTATTTCAACTATTCCTGATAAAATTCAAGATTTTTCAAAATATGCCCAAAAAACAAATCTAGAAAATTTCAACTCTGGGATCTCAAAAAAAATGTTTCAGGTGAACTAATAAAATAGCAAAAAGCACAATTTTTTAAAAGATTTTTTTAAATTAAGAATTTTTTTCAAAGAGGAAAAATGCACCAAATAATAATTTTTTTTCTATGCAATATATTATTTTTTCTCAAATTACCTACAATAATTTTAAAGTCGATCTACACGCATCGAAATAAATGAGGTCGTCTTGAAAGGCAAGGTCAGAGTTTGTAAACAGTAACTACAATTTCTAGATGAAAGCATTTTTTTGTGTTAAATAAAGAAAAAAAAGTTACTTATTTTCATGACCTGAGAGTTTTTTTTTAAGAACTAAGAATAAAAAGGAATCACGGTAAGGGAAAGGATTGATGGTAACAAAAGAATGAAAAGAAAAAGTATTTGAAAAGCAAGAGCTAAAATTTATTTTAAATTTGTTTTGTGTGGGGAGGGGGGGGGGGGGGTGGTGGGGGGTGAATAAAAACAGACTCCCTAAGGAGACTGTGGAAGCAGAAAGCATCGATTCATTCAAGAACAAATTCAGATGGATTCCTGTTAGGAAATGCAATATATAGTTTGATTTTTTTAAAGATAATAATAATTCGATCACTCAATAATCCACGACTGTGTGTGGGACGCTGCTGTGCGCAATTGGCTGCCGTGTTTCACCCACAAAACATACAGTCGATCTACTCGAATCTCTTTTTGTGAAGCGTGACCGGGCGCTCCATCAAATGCGAGATTGTTATTATTATTATTATTATTATTATTATTATTATTGTCTAATAGTTCGGGACACAGACATGTCAAGCGACTGCCAGGACGGTGGAAAGCCGGCGAACTGAAATAGATGGGACGGGAAACCTTGGGACTTCTCTCGCTCAGCAAATTCTTAAGGTTAAAAACTTTTGGAACACAACTTTGTTCCCAAAGACCGAACTGAATGAAACCCACTCCCCTCGCCTCCCCTCCCTCCCTCCCAGACACTCACCCAGCTCACACAGCCTGCTGAGGTGGTGTGGGTTACAGCAGTAATAGTCCGTGCTGTTGATCCCATACATCTCACAGCAGTAAAGTCGCTTCAGCTCGGAGGAGCTCTTGAGGTCAGGCCAGCGGAACACCTTGCAGAGGAGAACAGGTAGGGAGTAGGAGGTGTGTTTGCTGAGTTTAGGGTCTAGCATCCTGGGCAGGAGCAGGCAGCCGGTGCCAGCGCCTCCTTTGCTCTCCACAGCTTGGAGCAGGATCTGCAGCTGCTTCTCTTTGAGCCTCTTGAGCAACGAGTGTGTCAAGGCTTTGAGTTCGTGGTCGGCGCCTTTGGAGGTTTTCCCACAGCAACATGTGTGTGCGTTTGTATCTCTCTCTGGCTCCGGCTGGGAGGTGCTCTCTGGCTGGCCCTCAGCCGCCTCGCCTCCCAGGGTCGTGTGGCTCCTCCAGAGACGGCGGACCAGAGCGGAGCGTTTGGTCCTGAACATGCGAGGCTTCGATCGCCCTTCGCTAAGCTGCTCGCAGGCCTTACAATCCCACCAGACGGGGCAGAAGGAACATCTCCGCAAAGCATGAAGCCAGCCAGGGCTCAGTGGACACAACACAGCGAAGGCAGCACAGAGGTGTAGCATACACCAGCCCCCTGACTAATAATATACTTAATATATATAGAGAGAGAGAGAGAGAGGGGGAGAGAGAGAAAAGGAGGGAGGGGGGGAATAAAGGGGAAAATGGGGGGAGGGAAGAGAGGGACAGGGGGGAAATAAAGGGGAAAAGGAGGGAGAGAGAATCACACACACTCACTCCCGCACTCACACCAATGTCTCCTTTTTTTTATAAAGAGCAAAAGAAAATCATGCAAATAAAAAGGGGAATTTTTTTTAAGGGGGTGGGGTGGTGTGGGGGGGAAGGAGGGGGGGGGGACAGAAAATCACACACACACACACACACACAGAGGGAGAGAGAGAAAAAATATTCTTTTAAGGGGGAAAAGGAAAAAAAAATCTGTCTCTCACACACACAGAGAGAGGGAGAGAAAAATATTCTTTTAGGGGAGAAAGAGAAGAAAATCTCTCACACACACACACACACACACACACACAGAGAGAGAGAAAGAAAAAAAAATTGTGGGTGGGAGACCAGAGACAGAGAGAGAGAGAGAGAAACAAAAAATGTTCCCACACACACAAACAAATAACAAATAATAAAAAATAAAAAAAAAACAAATAATAATCAGGGGATACCAAGTAACTAACTGGAAGGAGGTTTGCTCAAGACAGGGCGGTGCATTGTACCAAAAATCGTTGATTTCCAAGGATTTGAAGGGATAAAATGTAGCCCAAGAATTATGTATCCATTAAAATGCAAACGAGGTCTGTCTGGTCTGTCTGTGTGGGTTCAGTTCCTTCTCTGGTCTCTCCTGTTGGTTTAATCCCAATTGATCCTCTCTTTTTTTCTCTCTCTCTCTCTCTCTCTTCTTTCTCTCTTCCTCCTTCTCTTCTTTTTCTTCCTCTCTCTCTCTCTCTCCCAAGATCTCTCTCCAAACAAATCGTGGTGGGTCCTTTTTTCTTTTATTCCTTTATTTTCTCTCTCTCTCTTTCTCTCTCTCTTTCTTCTCTCTTCTTCCCTTTTTTTTTTCCTCCTCTCCTTTGGCTTTCCACGACTGCACACAACACACAACACAACACACACAGAGAGAGAGAGAAAAGGAACACACGACACACACAAAAAAAAAATTCTTCTTTTTTTCTCTGTCCCTTCTTCTCCCCCAACAAATCGAGCTCTTGTCTCTCTCTCTCTCTCTTTTTTTCTTTGGACTCCACTTGTGCTTTGCTTTGTCTCTCTTTCTCTCCTGGTGTTGGGGATGGATTGGAGAGAGAGAGAGAGAGGGGAGGAGGTTTGTGGCAGTTGTCTCTCTCTCTCTCTCTCTCTGTGCCTCTCTCCTCTGTGTGTGTGTGTGTGTGTGTGTGTCTCTCCCTCTCTGTAGCTCTCTACTCTCCCTGTGTGTGTGTGTCTCTCTCTCCTCTCTGTCTCTCTCTCTCTCTGTAGCTCTCTACTCTCCCTCTGAGTGAGTGTGTGTGTCTCTCTCTCTCTCTCTGTAGCTCTCTACACTCCCTGTGTGTGTGTGTGTGAGTCTCTCTCTCTCTCTCTCTGTAGCTCTCTACACTCCCTGTGTGTGTGTGTGAGTGTGTGTGTGAGTCTCTCTCTCTCTCTCTGAGCCTCTGTGTTGCTGAACGTTCAAACCACTCGCAGTTGAAAGTGAAACAGATTGAAATTTACAGACTCTTTACTCCAGGGCTGCGTTATTGGTGGGAGAGATCACATGTATGTCTAGACACTTTGTCTGGGCTCTGGGTTTTAAAGTGATTTAAACCCCACAAGAGATCGCATTACTAACAATCTTTAACATACACACATCCTATATATATATATACACACACACACACACATAACATACACACACACAGTGTATACCAACCCCACACACACACACACACACACATACATACACACACACACTCTCACACACACATCAAACCACTGCACTGGAAATATTAGACTCCTATTGATTGGGATTAAAAAATATTCCAGCAAAAATATTTCTCTCACTCTCTCTCTCCCTCTCTCTCTCTCTCTCGCTCACCCACCCACTTGCGTTGGCTATATTTATGACCGCAATTGATCGCGATGAAAAATATTCGGGTGACAAATGTTTCTTTCGCCCCCACGCGCGCGCGGTAATACGCAGCCTTGACGGTAAATCCGGTCCAAACGCTTTCAGGCGTCTCGATTACGCGACAAGGCGCGAGGTCGGACGCGAGGATTGATGTTAAGATATTCGGATGACGCGTATTTCTCTCTTTCGCTGACTCGCTCCCACGCATCTGACCGCTGCACCGAAAATATTAAACTATTATTAATTGTGACTAATAATATTCAGGTGACAAATGGTTATCCCTCACAAACACACACAAACACACACACACACACACACACACCTGGTTCCAAAAACAAAGAGAGCGTCGCAGGAGGGGTTGGATCAGAACTTCCCGGTTACTAAACTGATTGGTATTTTTTGGGAATGTTTCCTTTCAGAAGGCTGCAGTCAAAAAAATGCAGGTACTGCATCAGGAAGCCTAGAAATACTGTGGAGTGCCGTAGCGTGTTGATTAGAGCACTCGCCTCGCAAGCGAGAGGACCCGGGTTCGATTCCCGGGCAGAACGAAACATTACGCCAGTTTTTTTTACTCCGCACACACGCCCCTGTTCACCCAACAGTAAGTAGGGACCTGGTTATTAGTCGATTGGCGGATCGCTTTTCCGGGGGTAATAATCTCTCCCCCTCCAAAAAATAATCATATCGTTTGCTCGCTTGATCCATGACTGTCTGTGCCCAATGCCGTGTGCAATTGGCTGCCGTGTTTCGCCCACAAGATGTACAGCGAATTATAACAATAATAATCCTTGCTTTTGATATAGCGCCTTATCACGTCTTTGAGAGTCTCAAACGCTTCAGAGAATACACCGTACATATTCTGTGAGGCGCTTTGAGATGTCTCGAAGCGTGATAAGGCGCTATATCAAAGGCAAGGATTACGCTAAGACTAGAAATTGCCAAGAATCTGGGAGGTGGGCAATTAGACGCTGGGTTCAAGGTAGAGAGAGAGATAGAGAGAGGGAGGGGGTGGAATGTTACTGTCTCAGTTTTGTACAGATGGAATCTGTGTGATTTATGGATAAGTGTGGAGTGTTCTTTAAACAAACAAATGGCGTTCATAGGGTGGGGCTATGGGTCAGAAGGTTGTACGTTCAAGTTCCCCATGAGCTTTTAATTTGGGCCGACTTTTCCAGTGCAGTGCTGGGGGTGAAGGGGGGAGAGAGAGCACTGCGGTGTCAGAGATAATAATAATAATAATAATATTCCTTGCATTTGATGTAGCATCTTATCACATCCTTGAGACTTCTCAAAGCGCTTCACAGAATACACTGTAAAGTGAATTGACTTTATATTTTGTGGGTGAAACGCAGCAGAGAATTGCGCACAGCAGTATTCCACAAACAGTTGTGGATTGAGTGACCAATTTTCTTTTAAAAGCAGTTATTACTCCCGGAAAGGTGATCCGTCAATCGACTAACAACCGGGTTCCTACTTACTGCTAGGTAAACAGAGGCGGATTAAGAAAATTCGCCCAAGTTTTCGCCCCGCCTGGGGAATCGAACCCGGGTTCTGTGAAGCGCTTTGAGACGTCTCAACGAGGTGATAAGGCGTTATATCAAGTGCAAGGATTTTTATTACACGAGCGAGTGAAAAAGAGCGAGCCAGTGTCTTCAAGAGAAGAGAAAGAGGGGAGAATAGGGCGAGGTGTGGGGGCAACAAAACGTGAAGAAAAAGGAGGGGTGGATGATCTCACAAGCAGTGAAAAGCAGACCACTCACTCACAGAGATAGGCAAAGTCCCTAAGAAGACCCTGACTTGACACCAACACCCCCTGGAGATATGCAGAGCAGATGAAAAGCCCTTCATCACCAGACCAGGGGATGAATTGAGCAGAAGTGGTAAGCGCATAGCTAATCTGAGGATAATGCACGATTGCTAATGGTCTGGCCCCAGGGGCCAGGAGTGGGGAACATTCACACTCACTCTAACAGGAATTCCTCACACACACTCAGCACCATAAAGGCACAGACCAGCCTCATCGGCAGGACTTGGAACAGCAGACCAGTCACTGGGGGCAGGGAGTCAACCCGCTCGGCTCCTGTTAACCCCGCAAGCCAAAGCCCTAATGGGATAGGGTTGTCCTAACTGGACCAGCAGCAGGAAAGCTTGCCATGCAGTGATAAGCCAGGCTAGTCAGAGTTCAGCAGTTACCCCAACGCACACTCTGGGGTCCCCAAGCCTTGGCTCCTGCCAACCTGTGTTTAATACTCTCTGGAATTAGGTAAACAGGATGCATCCCTCCAGGGAGAGAGAGAGAGAGAGAGAGAGAGCATTCCATTCCTACAATCTATCTCTGGAATTTCCTTGGGTGGGTGGGATGTGTGGAATTCTCTGGTTAGTTTGGATGCTCTTAAGCAACGGTGATGGGTTTCCCCATGTGTCAGACACCCGGCTGACTAAAACAAAAGGGTAAAGTCTCACCCTTTGAGCTAAATTAAAGAAACTTATTGATTTACAGATCGTTTCATTTTCAACTCAGGCGCCATCCTCTGGGCAAGGAGTTTGGTCCTTTCCAGGTGGACAATAAAGATCCCGTGGCTCTCTTTGAAAAGAGAGGGCAGTTTCTCTCTCCTGGTGTCCTTGCTGACAATCCGCTAGTTAAAATTGGTTGTTTGTTTCACGGCTGTTTGTGGGGTTGCTATGTTCGTTTGCCTGCAAAATACCCAGTCACTACACTTCACAGCAGGTAAACAGAGGTGTGTGGAGTAAAGAAACTTGCCTGAGGTTTTGCCCTACCCAGGAATCGCACCCGGGTCCTCTCGTTTGCGAGGCGAGTGCTCTAATCACTACTCTACAGGATTCCACAAACATCATAATATTCATTGCATTTGATATAGCGTCTTATCACATCTTCGAGACGTCTCAAAGCGCTTCATGGAACATACTGTTAAGTGAATTGACTGTATGTTTTGTGGGTGAAACTCGGCAGCCAATTGCGCACAGCAGCGTCCCACAGA